AGAAGCATATCTATTGCGACCTCAAAAACAGATCTGTAGCGATCTCAAAACAGATCTGTTGCAGCCTGAAAAGCAAGTCTGTTGCGATCTTAAAAGCAGATCTGTAGTGATCTCAAAACAGATCTGTTGCAGCTTGAAAAGCAGATCTGTTGCGATCTTAAAAGTAGATCTGTAGCGATCTCAAAACAGATCTGTTGCGATCTCATAAGTTGATCTGTTGCGATCTCAAAAGCAGGTCTGCTAAGATCCATCCAGCGATCTAGCGAGCCCTTCAAAACTAACTGGTCATCGCTGAGTTCAAAAGGCCGGCATGTCCAGCTGCCGTTGCAAACTTCATAACAAGTTGATGGAGGGATCATCGTGAGATGCTTTTGAGGGTAGGATCAAGGCAGGCACAGCGACCCTCGGATGTCCACCCTCGTTTGCCCAAGAAGTTTGGCCAGCGACAAACTGTCAGCTTGGATTACCCTTCGCTCAAGCGCATCCTCTCGGCGCAAACGTAGGATCCGGAAACCTGAGTAGACTGAGCCAAAGCCAGGCAAATATGATGCAAAATTGTTCGTACCTTCTGTTAATGAAAAGTTGTTGATGTTGGTGTACAAGCGTTATTTTTGATGTCGCTGACGTTTATTACGTCCACACGAATAAATTCTCGCTGAATAAAAATTGGCACAGATATACTGCTTGAATGATTACGTTTGTTTGCGTTTTTGGTTGGTCATTGGACTTTTGGTCATTGAACTTATGTTAGATATTTTGGTAGTCCAATATTCATTTGTGAGCTCCACATTTTCGAATGCAACGCATTTTCGTTGCCAGTTTACCGCCGGTAACTCTTCTTTCGAATAGAAATAGATTTTCACGATGATAAAACTTAACATTGAAAGCGACGATAATTAATTCGCTGGTCAACTTTTGGGGAGCGTGAAGATTTGAGTGAAATACAGAAAATAATTAGTGTAAATCAGTTTCGTATCCTTGACGACTGATAAATTATTATATTAAAATTATTATTTTAAAATTATTATATTGAATTCAGATCACGCAGAAGAGTTTAACATTTTGCTAGCACCGGGATTGCGAACTTAGATCGGGTGCAGAACAATTCAAGATTTGATACTGCTCGTTACTTAGCTTTGCTGCTGCAAAAATACAAGCCGGTTTTTCTTTGGTGCTAATTCAGACTATCAGTTGTCTTCAGTGCATGTTAAGGACTCCCAAGTCATTCCTCGAATTTTCAAACACTTCTTTTGGTACTCGCAGGTTTCAACAGAGCTCCTTCACTGAAAATATTCATACGGTTTAACCTGAATTATTCCTACTACTCATGAAACATTCATTAGTTCCCTCATTATTTACCATATAATATTGTAATACTATTTTTTCCACCATCCTTCCCCCATCTTATTAATTAACCCTGTTTCACTCCCCCCTCCACTACCTCCCTCTATTCTTTTTCTCCGGGCTTCATCAACTTAACGAACGCCTCGGCGCTCGTAAAGTGCGTCCGCTTTCATTATGGAGCAAATTTCGATAAACCTTCAGTGTGCGCGTAAATTTTATACACCACCAGTATGGGCATTAACTTTTATGGCTTGCAGGACTAAATTTATAAATCGTTGGGCTGGATGCATAGCCCTGGCATATTGGCGAGGCTCCGGCAGTGCTCGGGATCTCTTCAAAAGCTTCTTAAACGCGCGTATCATAGTCTTTGAATATTAATAAGACCCCCGAGATGCTCTAAATCTCAGATCTACTAAGAATATTACTGGCAAACTTGCCAGCCTTGTCGAGGTTTATAGCAAAAACGCATTGACAGTTTGTTCTCATGTCAGAATTATTTTATTCGTGGAAATTCATAGCTAGCAGTTTTTTTTTCTTAATCACTTGCTAGATAGTCTTTGCGAAAAATGGAAACGAGTTTACAATATTTAGTGAGCAAAATTGGTTTGTGGTTATCAATACTCATTCGAGTTATTTCACACTAGATAATTCCAACCACTAATGCACTCAACATTCTTCTGATATTATCGATAATTATTTAACTTTATATCTATCGAACTGCCTAACCACTTCTCATTTATTTTATTTTCTGATAAAAATTCGTCTTAATTTTGCTCCGTTCCTAACATAAGTTAAAGTTTCATTAGCCCATATGTGTGTTTATGTGTATCATGGACGCTCAATCAGGTATAGAGTCCAGATATTCAAATGTGGCGAGACTGGCCGAAAAGCGAAGTGATGCATGCGTCGCGTTTGATATTTCAGGGCTGGGACAGCGGCAGGCTAAGCTCCATAGAGCGTGGCTTGTAATCGCAGGGCCCAGAGGCGCGACGCTCGAGAGCATTCCGGTGTAGCTGAGGGGAAAAAAACCTGGGCTGGTCACTGGACACCTGGAGAGTCGAGGGGAGAGCAGAGAGGGAAGGTGGTGAGTACAGTGAGGCCTAGGATGATGTTGATGAATTATATTATCTGAGCTTGAGTGTATTCAACAATTCCTTGTTTGTAATGTTTCGAGATACGTATGCGCAACGAATTTTATAATAATTTTATGGAGTTAAATAACGGTACGATGGGAAACTTTTCGCTTCTGTTTTAACCTATTTTTATGGGTTACAAAAAATAATATCACATTATTATATTTCAATTGATACCTGTATTAATTTAAATACATATTTCAATTAATACAAGTATCATCAACAGATATTTTCACGCGTTCAAATATTCATTCCGTGAATTGACTTTATACTCATGTTCCCATCATTTCATCTACCTCCCGATAGCTTCGACTTGAAATACACTGCAATATTACTTTATTTGCATTAGTAAACAATTTACCTTATTAACCTAGATTACATTTCGGTCATGAATTAAAAATATTGATGAAACTAGTCTTGCATCTGTTCATTGCATTCATACGATTCATGCCATTGCATTCATACGATTCATGTCATTGCAGTCATACGATTCATGCCATTGCATTCATACGATTCATGTCATTGCAGTCATACGATTCATGTCATTGCAGTCATACGATTCATGCCATTGCATTCATACGATTCATGCCATTGCATTCATACGATTCATGTCATTGCAGTCATACGATTCATGCCACTGCATTCATACGATTCATGTCATTGCATTCATTCGATTCATGTCATTGCATTCATTCGATTCATGCCATTCCATTCATACGATTCATGCCATTGCATTCATTCGATTCATGCCATTCCATTCATACGATTCATGCCATTCCATTCATACGATTCATGTCATTGCATTCATAGAATTAATGCCAATGCATTCATTCGATTAATGCCATTGCATTCATACGATTCATGCCATTGCATTCATACGATTCATGCCATTACGTTTATACAATTCATGCAATTGCATTCATGCCCCGCCATGAAGGCCCCCCTCCCGGAGGTGGTTGTCGTGACTACACATTAACAATGCTGTATGATCGATGAATGACGACTCACTTTCACTACGTATAGTACTGAGCTAGCAGTTGATGTGCACGGTATCACAGTCGCAAGTGTGCAGTGTCTAGTATTATTGCATTTTATCAAATAGCTCCTGTGATGGTTCCAGGCGATAATTAAAAAACATTGTTTCATAATACGCGGTTAATTTTGGATAAATTGTTTTTACGTTCAATTGAAAAATTAAAGAGTCTATTCACAAGTTTTATTCATTTATACCGCAATATCAAGGTTTCGTGTTGCGCAATTTAGCACAACACATCGTGCGCAGTTACTTAACGATGTCGTTGCTTTGGACCTATAGTATTTCTCCACAAATTTTAGAGTATTTCTCCACAGTTACTTAACGATGTCGTTGCTTTAGAGTTTTTTCTTCGTAAATTCTTGAGTTCCTATTAATTGGACTTCTATTTTTCTCCGCCGATTTACGATATGAATTTCCCCACTAATTGCACTTTGTTTTATTTCATCAGAAGCAAATGAATCTCCTGGGAGAATAGCTATGATCAAGGAACGCGAACTTACTGCACACTTAACAGAATATTAATTTTATGATTACGCTTATGCTTTATGTTTATGTAAACATTACGACAGAAGAATTTTTACGTGGTTCGTTAAAACTCGTAACACTAGCGAAACTTATATTTTTTTGGTTAATCCTTGTCATAAAGGACATATTTATATGAGAGCTTCCATTCAGCATTTGTGTCCATGTTGATTTATTTCCATCACCGAACATATGTTGGTTCTACTACATGGAAATGGTTCCACTACCTTATCTCAGTTTTCAATTAAAAATATCGAGTGGTACTGCTCACTTAAATGTTAATAAAATCACTGCAAGTCCCGAGTTGACCGCAAGCGTGAGTTTTTTTTTCTACTCTCCTGTTTGAGTTCGTATGACCTTTACACATGTAATGGGCCCTAAGTTTTTTAGGCTTCTTACAAGGGAAAAAAATCAATCCGAGATTTCGTCTAGTAATATATACGATTTTTCACGCACATTGAGTATTGCTGAATTACCTCTAAAGTGAAAGAAAATGTTTTCATTGCTACAAGTTTATTTCAACACAAATTCAATCAGTACTGAACTAATTAAAACTTGGCCGCTGCTGAACAAACTCATCACCGAACTCTTAATTTCCAATAAATCAATCGCTAAAAGATCAGATAATAAGATAAGAGGTCGCATTGAAAGCAATTACGATTAATATTTTCACATTCATATATTATTAATATTTTCAATTTTCATTTATTGCTCTGATCGATCATGTGCGTACGAATTAGAATGAATTTCTAGTTCCCGCGTTCGTGCATTCATATTCAATCGACGTATGGAATCTGGCAACGAACAGAATCTACTCATATACGAAAACAATTTCTTTTAATCATATGGCAATTTACATTTTTAATTACCCCGCACTTATATATTTTCTATTTATATTGTGTAGGGAATAAAAATATATTAATACCAATTTAAACAAATTATTCATCTTTTTCAGGTTCCGCATATAATCATACATTAAAGTAAAGCAACTAAAATAGCAGCTTGGAAACCACATTTCCATCTCAAAGAGTGATTACTTCATGTAATCACCATTGCTGTGTTCTGCAAGCAAGTCCCTACATTTTTAGTAAGTTTCCTTTATTTATGACTGAAGTTGTAACGCTGCTAAAATCTTAAAAGGAATCGTTGATTGATCAATTGCCTATTGAATTTTTTATCGAACATATTATAACTAGTTCACTTGCACACAACTCTGTTTCAAGATTAGGTGATATTCGAGCCATTGTATTTATCTTGAAAATTCATATTTTTTATTTAACATCGAAAATTATTCTTTTACTACTTATTTATGTTATTATTGTGGAAAACTAGAGAATTGACAATTCTCCACACCCGACAGAGTTTGGAAGCAGCTCCGATGATCTTCGCGGACCAGGATGACCAACTGTCCGCGTCGGGAGGCAGCGGCGCGGGATTGGTCAAGCGGTGGTGGCGAGTCGGGTGCTCCCTGCACGTCGAAGAAGCCCTTCACTGCCACGACCTGGGACGTCTCACGCCCAGGGCAATACATCATCTCAACCAAAACTCACTGCCACAGTTCAGTTTCCCTGTCTTGTACTTAGAGGAAGACAGATGCGAGGACTCTTTCGATCCATACGGGAACGTAAGATTGTACTTGGAGTTTCATAAGCTGCTGGCATATTATGGTGCCCATTTAAAGCTGTATCTCATCGATGAATTTGTCGAAAACACTAAGGCTATCTCTCGTTTACTTGTCACTAAAAGGAGTCCAGCGGGTCTCCCATTGTCTCTGAAAAAGATTGATTTTAACAACATGACGGGTCACCTTTTCCACAACCAAGTAACCATCATAAACCCAGATGGAGAGCGCGAAGTTCTCGACCACCACTTACACATTATCGCAGAGTCGACAGATGACGTGAACCGTTGGTTATTTTTACACTGCATCAGGAAGACAGTAAACCATCAAACACGAACACCTAACAGCAAATCTCTGAGCCGAAGAGCTTCAACCAGTGACGTCACTTTCCAAAATGACGCAACGCCACGGGATCTCAACGTACCAAACGGAATCCGAAGTCTAAGTCGAAGGTCTTCGCTGTCGCACAGCATCAGCCCGACCTACAGGGACACCCCTTACGATGGGACCTCCTGCTACCTCGCTCACGCCGAACGAAAGTCTTGTCCCTCACCTTTTGATGCTGAAAGAACGCGGACTTACCTTGGAAAAGTGCGAAAAGATTTCTTCAGGCAAACAGATCTTGATTTTGTCTTATAATCTTCCTGAAATTTGATGTAATTTACTACAAAGTTGCTCCGAACAAAAAAAAATAAAATAAATTTGAACGATTTGTTATCAACGATTTTATTGTGTCGGATGTGCATTCACCTGCAGCATGGAATGTGCATTCACAACAGTGAATGTTCGATGCACAGACATAAAAATAATTTCATAACTAAAATTCTTCATATATCAACTGGATTCAAACAGTTACCGAGTCGTTAGTAGAATTCATTTTACATATTCATTGCATCAAGTAATCTATAAATAAATCTTTTTGAATGCAAGAAAAGATTTGTTGCACTTTTAGGTAATCGAAGCATTTTTGTCCAATGAAATTACGTGGCGACATTTATGATTGAAGCCATTATGAACAGATGTAATGCGTCTCTTCTTAATAAGGTATATCATAAAAAAACTGTCGTAAGCCTTATATTCATCCTGATGTTGTAGATTCAATTGGGATTTCTCTTAAATACGCAGTCCAATTATTTGGATGGTTCTGACACAGCAAATTTCGGGTCAGAGAAGAAGTAAAAATTTGGATTCTCCAATAAATTGAAAGTTTTGGCTTAGAAAATAGCTGTCTCAATATAATAATATTAATATTTAGTGGGTTATTAAGTTTGTTCAACTATATTAAGAAGAATTCGAAAATTTCATATGATTTTGTATGTGGCATGCTGAATAAAATAATTCCTCAGGTGAGCTAAAAAAAGGCGCAGTTCTCTATTCCTTTTATTTTCACTTTATTCCTTGATTCATGAGAGAGTTATCCGAGTTATGTGATTCATGAGAGAGTTATGTGAGTTATAAATTTGTGCGAATAAAATCAAAATGATCCAATTTTTTCACTCATATAATTCTAAATTTGAGATGGCCTAAGAGGATGAGGTTTTCATCAACACTGATCCCTTCCCAAAAGCATTGGTTTTTAGACGCGGGTGCGAATATCGCTAGCGCCTGCGAAGGCTGTTCAGGTGGCACACGAATATTATTGGTTTGTGGAAGATTTTTAGTTAGTTTTCTTATACTTCGCATAAATCTTTATTACCTGACTGACATAAGATGCTCTGGTGAAGATATACAACTTTTGCCGCATGTAACCACCTTATCCCAGCGGTCAGTCGTTAAATTTATACCGTAATAAAAACTCTTATAACACAAATTATTTGCAGTGTAAATCATGCATAATGCAAACAATGAGGTATATTAGCCGCTAATATCTATTATTAATGACATTCAGTATTACAATACCGGATGGCACATACTAAAGGGATTTACAAGTGGTAGGTACTCGATTACGAACAATTTTGTAATCACTACTCAGGAGTGCTCGTAAAATGTGGCCCATTTAATCAAAAATGGTAATTCTTTAAATGCGGTGCACGCTTTCCCGGTAGAAAACGGAGTTGAGACCAGTAAGTGCAGTGTTTTTTTTATTATGTCTACCTCACATGATTTTAATGATCTTTTATATGCTTGAAGCAGTTTGGAAACCACGAGCGGGATTACAAATCACCAAAGGCAACGACGATCGAAAAGCAAAGCTCAATATCCTCATCCCCTGCTTCATTCTCGAATGATGGAGATGTATAAAAAAGTAGGAATTATGCCTTCGGCGGTGATTAAGCAAAAACTAGTGTCTCTTCGTTTTTAGATATAGAATTTCAAATCCTAATGGGAATTTGAACCGGAAACTCGTTGCTCCATCCTAACTCAACTCGCTCAGTCGACATTGCATGGTAAATCATAAGCTATTGAATCACTAGTTTATTTCAGGTATGAAATTTTAGATTTGAGGGTGCCAAAATTCCATTCAAAATAAATAATTCTAAATATAAACGTATTGGAATGGTATTGGATTGAAATTGTCCGGTGATTTCTTGTCCGACGGACTGATCCGGAAATGAAGTGCGTCATAGAGTGGGGTCTGTCGTGATTAGGGGTTTGAAGGTTGGAGTTTTGGGGGTAAGGGTGGCAAGATTCTGTCTTTGTTGTCAACATGTCTAAGCGTTAATGCAACACAAAGGGCTAAAACTCCTGAAGCCTCTGATTACAGTTCTAATGAGTCGTCAAAATTTTTACTGTAATAATTGTATTAGTATTAGTGTATTCAGTATTGTATTCTATTCAAGTGGACGAAAAAACAAGAGGCCAGGCAGTCGACTGCATAGCCAAAAAACGCCGTTTTGACTTTGTGAAGAGCGACCATTAAATACTGACACGACAATCCTGTATTTCGTAACTTGAAAGCATATACCTACAAATCAATTCATTTGAACAACGTATTCAACCTTTAGCGTCATCATCTGTTTGATAGAATGGAACATCTATTTCCTGTTACATTAATAACTTACCTAGCAATATTGAATAAAGCATGTATAAATGATGTATTAGTTTCATAGTATGCCAGGTGGCAGTTGCCAGTTGCCACCACATTTATTTCATGTTGCTTTTAGTGTTGCTGTCTGCTTTTGTTAATGCAAAAATACCAAAAAATAAAAGTGCTGTCCGAAGTCTGATTATTGATAGGTATCTGATTGTCTGTCACAGTCATAATGAGTCATTCTACCTTTTTTCTGCAAGGCTGTCATTAACCCTTTAATGATCACATTTTTTACATCATGTAAATGAAAATTTTGCCGATAATGCGTCGCCGTAGGTCTTTAAATCTTCGTTCACTCTCTGCACAGTGGGTCACTGCTGCCTACCTAACTGGAGAATGGGGCAAATGCCACCTGTAAATAAGAAAAATACTTGTGCTTATGTTTAATTTTAATCGTGCCTATCATCCTATGGCTCTTGGCTTTTTACTTTTGTAAAAAAATTTAAAATAATGGTACATATTTGCATGCAATTTCTTGAAATCACCTGTGAAACAATCTGTTTTATCTACAATTGTTGTTAAATAATGCCAAATATGCCAGGTTGAATAGCCTGATGAAAGTCGAAACTTGAAACTTATGATTAAATCTTAGTAGAATTATGTTTGAAATTCTACATTCGATCTAGGAATCTAGAATATTATACATAAATCAATATAGGATTTTTTAAAAATTGCAGTCTTGCAGATACAAACTATAGTTTTATGGGCAATTTTGTAAAATTTCAGGCAAGAATGTGTGGTTTTTCTTTTTTCATGCAAGACAAAGGCCAGGGTGCAGAAAGTGATTGAATACCGTCAAACAGGGCAAAAAAGGACAGGCAGGGTAATAAGGGACAGTCCTCCAACATTTTGTAGAAATGTTGTACCGACTTGTACGGTACCTCAAGAGCAATTCAGCAGCTATACCAAGATTACTCTAATTACTAATGAATACTATATTGATTTTTATTTGTTAGAAATCAGCTGTAGTATTTTAAGCTTTAATAGGGCTGCAGATTGCTTGTTAATTTTGAGGTGAAGGCTCAAGGCCTTATGTAAGGGACAGCAAAAATGACATTTTTATCAAGAACAGCTGCAGCACTGCTGGTGAGTATGATTTTATTTTGTCCAATGCCCAACTTCCACCTTTACACTCTTTCTTAATTAATACTAATCTGTTTCTATTCCTGGATTAGTCGTCCTTCTGTTGAATAAAATCTTCATAATGCCAAAAAAATTATAATCTTCATCTTATAGGCTTCTATACAAGTCTACACTGAATAGCTACAGTTATCCAATTTTATTAGAGTTCTTTCTATAAAAGATAGCATAATGTGACCATTGTATGACATAAAATTCATGTGCAACTCCTACATAGAAATATTTGTACAACTTTATTTTATTTAATATATAACATTCAATGCAGTAATTTTGTCTTTGTTATAAGATTGTATTTATTTCTAAAATTTTTCATGGTAAATATTTTTCAGTGGCTGTCATGGGTTATTGTGCCCCATGTCAAGGCTGAGGTTGTGGTAGTTGACCGAATCCTCAACAAGACAAATGATGTCATGGCTGACATGGCATCTATTTTTGGACCAGAACTTTCTTTCATTGGTCTCAAGGTTTGTTTATTCTCTCACTGAGAAAGCAGTTAATGTATGTATCTCACAATCATCTTTACTGTCAAGGATTCAATATAACTTTGCATTATATTTTTGTAATTGATGAGATAAAACTGCCTGCAAATCAAGAGGTTTTCTAAAAAATGTTCCATTATTTTCTTGTAAGAGCTTGGAATAGATAGGTTCTGGTTTCAAATTAGCCTCTGGATTGTTTGTTGAAGTTATTGATCAATATTTAGCAAGGTGTAGGAATAATTTTACATCCCTGCAGTTGTGTCTTGATTCAGCTATACCGTACTACCCATCACAACCCGTTTATGGGCAAACATCAATATAGGTACTGTATGCAAAAATTTAAATATCTCATTCCATTACCAGAAAGTATGAACTATTCTAATATATATATTCTCCTGTGGATTTTTGAAAATTTTGCTTATTCAAGGAGTAAATCGCAGTTGAAAAATTTACAAAATACTGTCACTACACTTAACAAAATTGTATACCGGTATGTAACTTCTATTTAAAGATGCAAATGTTGAGGGTACGTAGCTATCCAGATTCAATTTACGGGGTACTTCTATTTCATCAAATCACTTTAATTAATTAAATAGGTATTGCTACTTCCTCCTTTCAAGAAAAACATGGAAAGATGGTTAAATTTGTATTCCGCATTAAAAATTTCATTCAAATGCATGATAATGTAGCAACAAACACAAAATGGAGGTTGGTGTGTGTCTTTCTGGTGGAGATTTTAAGCCATTGTGGAGATTTTAAGTGACCAAATACATATGATGAGTTATCTAGGCAGCTAACACATTATTTCTTGTATTCTTATCTTTACTTGATTGAAGAAATCAAGCTCTTTCTTCATTTCCGTACTCAACCAGGATGTAAATTTTCTGTTCAAGAGAGTATAATATTCTTTGTCTCATTTCTTGATGCAATTCTTCAGGGCTTGCTTGTGAAGGCCCACCCACCCGATGCTTGTCAGGCTATCAAAGGGCCCCCGATTTTCCCTGACAACATCTCCCCTGCCTATGCCCACTGGGTTGTGCTCATTCACCGAAGAAATTGCACTTTTGCTGAGAAGGTTCAGAATGCACAGAATGCTGGATTTGCTGCTGTCATTGTCATGAATATTGGATCAGATGACATAGGTGAGTACCTAAATAATTGGAATTTATTTTATGCAATTATTAATTGTGATTTGTTAGCTCTTTTTAATTCCGCCAGAAATGCTTCATCTTGAAAATGTTTTGACATCTTGATATTTTGCAGTTATATACGATTTACTGAAGATTACCCCACTTTGCATTTATTTATGATTAATGTACTCCTCACATGTAATGGCAGAACCCATGAATGCTAGTGATAAGGATGCAGAGAACATCACAATCCCATCGGTGTTTATTGGGCAATCTGATGGTGATACCCTCGAGTTGCTGTTCCTCAACTATAGAAGGTAACTGAAATAACAGCTTCTGCATACATGTATTGTTCATTACACTAAACAATCAATTTTTCAACAAACAATTCTTCAATCAGTTTAAGACTTAAGTTTTGAGATTCCTGTAGTGAAACTGGTAATTTATATCTACTCATACTTGTTGATATTTTTTCAGGTTTGGTGTGATCATCAGCGCCGATTTACCTGACATTGAAAGTTATCTTCTGCCGTTCGCCATCACCGTAGCTGTGTGCTTTGTAGGCATGCTTCTTTGCATGGTAAGTCTTTCATGTGTATCTCTCCTATCAGCTCATAAATTAACAAGTTATTCCATGCCCTTAGATGTGAAAGGATAATAGTAGTAATGTGCATTTATTTCTGCAGAGCATAAAATAAGTTTTGATTCGTATGCTAATTTATTTAAAGAGCTTAAAAAAATTTTTGCTATGAATTGTTATTGATTCTCACTCTACATCCTCTAATCATATCCATTTATTTTAATTGATCTGATTAAATTACTTTGATTAAATTACTGTAATTAAATTATTTATCTTAATTAAACCCTTCTTTGTTCAGATTGTGAAGTGTGTACGGGACTACCGGCGCAGCATGCGTCACCGTCTGTCATGGCGCGCCCTCCGTCGCCTCCCTCTGCACAAGTTCAAGGCTGGGGTGGACACCTACGACATGTGCGCCATATGCCTCGACGACTACCTGGACGGCGATAAGCTCAGAATATTGCCTTGCAACCACGGTTAGTGCTGCTCACCTTACCTGCACTTGTTGTTTGTGGTTGTTACCATGGGAAATCTCGTGGTCTGTGGTTGTTACCGTGGGAACTCTCGTGGTCAGTGGTTGTTACCGTGGGAACTCTCGTGGTCAGTGGTTGTTATCGTGGGAACTCTCGTGGTCAGTGGTTGTTACCGTGGTAACTCGTGGTCGGTGGTTGTTACCGTGTTAACTCTTGTGGTCAGTGGTTGTTACCTTGGGAAATCTTGTGGTCAGTGGTTGTTACCGTGGAAAATCTTGTGGTCAGTTGTTGTTACCGTGGGTAATTTCGTGATTAGTGGTTGTTACCATGGAAAATCTTGTAGTCAGTTGTTGTTACTGATGGAAATCTGGTGGTCAGTGGTTGTTACTGTGGAAAATCTTGTGGTCAGTGGTTCTTACCGTGGTAACTCTTGTGGTCAGTGGTTGTTACCGTGGGAAGTCTCGTGATCAGTGGTAGTTACCGTGGGAAATCTTGTGGTCAGTGGTTGTTACCGTGGAAAATCTTGTGGTCAGTTGTTGTTACTGATGGAAATATGGTGGTCAGTGGTTGTTACCGTGGAAAATCTTATGGTCAGTGGTTGTTACCGTGGAAAATCTTATGGTCAGTGGTTGTTACCGTGGAAAATCTTGTAGTCAGTGGTTGTTACTGTGGAAAATCTTGTGGTTAGTGGTTGTTACCGTGGGAAATCTTGTGGTCAGTGGTTGTTACTGATGGAAATATGGTGGTCAGTGGTTGTTACCGTGGAAAATCTTATGGTCAGTGGTTGTTACCGTGGAAAATCTTGTGGTCAGTGGTTGTTACCGTGGAAAATCTTGTGGTCAGTGGTTGTTACCGTGGGAAATCTCGTGATTAGTGGTTGTTACCATGGAAAATCTTGTGGGCTGTTACCGTGGAAAATCTTGTGGTCAGTGGTTGTTACCGTGGAAAATCTTGTGGTCAGTGGTTGTTACCGTGGGAAATCTCGTGATTAGTGGTTGTTACCATGGAAAATCTCGTGGTCAGTGGTTGTTACCGTGGGAAGTCTCGTGATCAGTGGTTGTTACCGTGGGAAATCTTGTGGTCAGTTGTTGTCACTGATGGAAATCTGGTGGTCAGTGGTGTTTACCGTGGGAAATCTCGTGATCAGTGGTTGTGTCCGTGGAAAATCTCGTGGTCAGTGGTTTTTACCGTAAGAACTTTCGTGGTCAGTGGTTTTTACCGTAAGAACTTTCGTGTTCTGTGATTATTACCTCAGGAACTCTTACGTGCAGTGCCTCTTATCTTGGGAGTTTTTCCATTATATTTTCATGCATGCATTATATACCTATACCTTCATGTGTTGTTTGTCTGATCACATTGTGTTATACTACCCTCTACTGACCGCTTTGGTAGAGAATAATTTTTCTACTAAAAGCTCACTACTTTCTCTATCTTATGTTATTAGTATCAGTTATATGAAACATATTCAAATTTACTCTTTTAAAAACTCAATAATGTTCATCTGAATATTTTCAAATCCACTTCTTCTCAATGTGTAGCTTCCTTTTTGACCCTCAATTTGTTTTTTCTATAAGGCATCTTCTGCTAACATGTCCCTAGTACTGGTGTTAATAATTTCATTTTCAATGTATTGAATGTTTGCTGGGCACGTGCACTTGAATAGTTCTGTTTGAATTTTAATCTAACTAAATTAATTGCATCTGATATTCCAGCGTACCACAGCCGCTGCATCGACCCATGGCTGACCAAACGACGTCGTGTGTGTCCGGTTTGCAAACAGAAAGTGCGGACTGCGGGGGAGCCTCTAGACGACTCCGATGACGAGGATCTGGACCACGTGACCGAAAGGGCTCCTCTGCTCCAGCAAGCCACCCAGGTGTCGTCCGGCACCTTTGCCAACAACAGAGAGAACCCCTTTGCCAGGGCCACCCGCCTGGCTCGAGAAAACAATCCCAGGCGTCACCAGCGGTGAGCTGTATTATATCATGATGCACTGCTGCTCAAACTGAGGGTGATAAATCAAGATTTCAGAGGTAGTGGGGGAATGAAATTTTATTTACCTGTAAGTATTAATGTTAATAAAATTTTTGAGAGAAGCGATTCGCTAGTTGTAATATTTTACATTGGGTGAATCGGTGGGTGAAATGGAAAATATTAGCTTGGAACTGGAATGTGTCAGAAGAATCTAGGCATCTCGCAAACTTTTCCTATAAAAATTAAAGCTATAAATTAAAACACTGACAAACGCCGGGCGGCCTAGCATTATTACTCAAATCTTCTCGAAGTTTTAAGTAATTCTCAACGTCTTAAGTAATTTATTTGTAATTTTAGATTGTCATGTTAATAATGTCAATATTCAGTGTCAAGATTATCATTCAGTATCTCCAAATAAATCTGACTTGCGTGTTATTCCCCACTTATTTTTGTGTTAGTTCACCCTACAAAAGTTGTATAAATACACAATTTCAAGTAGCTGTTGATTGAGTTTGCCGTGAACATCATTTCTTGCCTTGTGGCTAATCTACGCGTGCCACCATCAAAATTAGTGAACTTTGAACTTTCATTACTTTCTTGTCATCGTTTTATGCGTATGTATTAGCCTTTCAGTGGGTATTTATTGCAATTCTCTACAGGTACGGGCGTCTATCTGACGATGATGTCAGCGAAGATGGAGTAGTAGCCGTCAGCTCGGACAGCAGCAGGCGTGCGAGTGCTGATATTGCGACAGTCCACGGGGCGGCCGATGGTTATGTCCACTCATCTGCTGACAGCGATATCAATGCCTCTGCTGACGGTCACGTTTATGCAAGTGATGCTGAAGCCGCCATGGCTGCGGCCGCAATGCAGCCCGCAGCTGACGAGTGTTTGGACGATCAGCTGAAGGTTGTCTCGGTCACGCGCAGCGTCAAAAAGAAGAAGAGCAAGAAGAACAGAGATAGAAGCGACGTCGAGCCTTACGTGGCTCCAGCCAGCGGTCCTTCTAGCGCTGTGGTTCTGCAGGTTGATCCTCCCGCCTCAGGTATAGCGGTATTTAGTCCAAATATCTTGTATGTAGCCTCTATAGCGTTTTATTCGCCGATTATCTAATCATTTGAAAGATCAGGTCAGTAAAAGTATTGACAAATCATCTTACAATGTTGACCTACTATAAAGATATGAATTAAATGTCATAACTGGCTTGTAGATGCAGTCGAAGTCGAATGGTTTTTGAATATTTTCACTTGGGTTTCTGGTTTTGCATTGAGATATCTAAATATCTTCACAAGTGTAACGGATTCTTTCACGTCAGCTTTTATACTACATTTTGTTGCATAGGTTTCAAAGTTTACACTTCGTTGAACAAATTATTCTCATCCTTTGGTATTATTGAAATTAATTTTTAGCTCTCCTTAAAATTTTTCTGTGCATTATATATGATCGTTGAAAGCTCCTTATCACATCTTACTCAAAGTTAAGTTTAAGTCGGCATTTTTTACAATCTTTATAATACTTTTCAGATGACAGCATCGCTCCTGAGATGTCAGCCGCTCATCCTGACATGGTTTAGACGCCATGAAGAGCCCCTCTTCCTCACCTTCTGCACGTCATCGAACGCTCTCCACACCGCCTACATCGGCTCCCCTTTCAAATCAATGCCGAAAGTCCCGTGTGTACTAATTCTGCTGGGTACCACGAGTAAATATATTCATTGATACATTATTGCCATATGTTACTAATGGCAATTGCGTCTAGTTGACCCAATAGTTTTTATTATTCACACCATTGCATCCCATAATGATCTGTGTTCGAGCCCAGTGTCCGGGGCTCCACTTTCTTCCATGAACTAATGTAAATTTGTCATACGAAATTCCTCTTAATATCTTATGTGCGAGCCTCATTGTGTATTGGGCTTGCGAACAATGTTCTTTTTGTAAAATGCCTTAACACACTATTTTCTAACGTGAAAAATACTTCCAGAGGCAGACTGCTTGTAGCTATCTGCTCTGCTTACTCTTATCCTCCTTTTATTGCCTGACTTGATTGACTATTGGTTTTACTTTTTCGTCGGGGGTTTTTTAAACTTCAGTTTAATTCTCCCTATATAGTGACAAGATTATTGTCATGCTTGATGAGGTGTCCCATCAGGAGTTCCATGTTGTGCACGTAGAGTAATGAATGAGGATTTGTCCAAATATCCAAGCAATTTTAGCCCTAGTGTGAGTCATCCTGACCCAGTTTAGCCCGGCAAATGAGCATTAGAGTGCTACGTCCTCTCTATGCTCGTGATGTGAGTATGAATTCGGGTCACTATTTGGACAATATAAGCTATTCATTTTTCTGAGTGGGTGGGGGCTGTTCAGAACGTGGATATGTTGTCACTTGTGCTAATTCTTTGATCTTTAATGCTCGGCCTACCGCCAGCGAACAGGTGTAGGAAGATTGTTGTTCACTGACGAGTGTCCGCTCATTACTTCTAATTACTTCCTTGAATTTATGTTTCACTATAGAGTAGTGACGCGTGATGTATGTGCAATGGTGAAGATTATTGGTCGTTCATAATTACACGATAGCCATTTACTACCAATCCCCCATAATAGCTAGTCTGGTAGTAATTATCGAGCTGACCTATTATAGTGGAGTGATATTCCGATGTTAATTCTGGAAATTGCGTGATAATGGAAATTGCGTGTTAATGGAAATAACGTGTTAATGGAAATAACGTGTTAATGGAAATAGCGTGTTAATGGAAATTGCGCGATGATGGAAATTTCGTCATGATGAAGCTTTTTCATCTTCTACTGAAGCTTTGTATTAAAGTGGAAAGAAATTTGTTCTTTTTCGCATAAACATCTGGGGAAACTTTCGGCTACGTTTGGCTACGTTACGGTTTATTAGCTATTAAAGCTAATTTGAAAAAGGTCATTGATTACAGGTTATACGGTGGTGTTAACCAGGTTTGGTATGGAGTAGTTTGATGTCTGTTATTTCTTAAGATGTGGGCTCAATGAGGAAATGCAGTTTCTTTAATGCATGGGATATAGTTTGTTGAAATGCATCAAGGAACATTCGATTAGTTGATATTTATGGAATAAGTCTTTTAGTCACAGACGGTGTTCACCAATTTATTAACATTTTATTTCTTGGCTTTGTGGCGAAATGTTCCCTTCTTTTCCTTATGAGATTCACTCGAATGTTTTATTTTACTCTGCTATTGAGAATTATATAATCTTTATTATATATCATTCTGACAGCTACACGTTTTTGTACTAAATGATCGTCCAACAATGGGTTTTTAAGCATGGCTGCTTCTCGTGCTTCCTGCGAGACGAGAAAATGATTCATTCGATAAGATGAAGGATAGATTGCCATTTATTTTCTTTGTAAGTTACTCAATGCCGATCTTGAGGTAGATTTAAGGTTTACTTACGTTTAGTTTCGTTGTATGATTTCTGTCTTTGTGGACAGTTGATCTGCACTTCAACAGAAAGCTTCGCTCCCTGTATATGTTGTATGGAGCATATAACTAATAAAAACATTTTAATGCCCTCTGATAACTTGTACCCGGCTGCATTTTCCTTTACTGAAGTTTTTAGATACCCTCAAATGACGCTGAACTCGAGTGTTTTGAGACACCAGCGCCTGCATGTGTCCGATGTTTCGAAACACCAATATGGTACCATCACTACTTCGTATCTCTGCTACGTCACCTAATATTTACGTAACACGAGCTTTTAGTCCGTTAATGCTTCACTGATTATCTAATTATCCTCAACTAGTCGCATTTATTTACATGTGTACTTCTCAAAGGCTCTTCTGAACAAAATACAAGTCAGGATAGCTGCGTAATCGTCCGACTGAAAGGTATAACTGTTATGATAGTGCCAATGCTGTCGCTTTGCGCATTTTCTCATTTATGCTCATTTTCTCATTTTTTGCATCTACTCATTTATGGGAAAAAGGCGTTATTGTGCTCGCCATGTCCGTCCGTCCGTGACTTCACGGACGGACGAGAAAATGCGCTCTCTGTCACTCACTGCAGTGAGTACTGATCTAATTTTTTTTTGTTCTAGGCAAGTCAGATGCCGAAATCAAAATGCCTTTTCTTGACAGAACAATAATTTTATATTTCATGTTTCCTTGATTAAATGAAATGACAATTTCTTCCACCTAACTGAAAAAAATATGGATTAAAACAGCCTCAAAAGTTCAACTGTTGTTACTCGCAAAACTCAATTTTGCTGTATAATCTAGAGAAACGAAGCCGACACTAATGTCTAATGCAATACTAACTTCGTACGCGTCCTCCACTCAACTCTCGAGTGTGTTGCATGTAGAGCCCCCAGCTTATTTCTTGCTCATTATCTTCTGTCTACGAACGAGAATTATTTCAGAATTTTGATATAATTACGCTTATAGTATCGGTGATATTTCTCGCCAGTTCACTTCATACGCGATGCGCTGGCTGAGTAAGAAAGGTTTGGTTCATAAGATGCTATTTTCGACGTATGGCATGCAGACTTTTTCTATTAGTTGTACTGTTACTGGACTAGGCTGTTACATTACAATTCTAGAAGCACCTGTTCTCGAGAAAATAAATTGAAAGCATAGTCAAGACTTTCGCCTCACCAATTGTTATCGCCTGGAAAATAAACTTTTATTAAAAGTCTAAATTGAGAGTTTTTTGTGAGTATTGAATGCGTGGCGTTGAATATTGGGTAATGATTGACGGTTTTTGTTATGTTTGATACTCGTATTATAATGAATTTCTTGGAGCGCGCGTATAAAATTTGTTCATATTATGGATGCGCGTTGATCGACCGTTCATTTGGATTTGTTTAGTTATGTTCCCTCACAATAATTTCTTACGAAACTTTGTGCTTTTTCAATAAATTTTTTCAATTTAAGGTAAATGAAAGTCATTTGTTTTTTCAATGCTTTAACGAAAGATTTTAACATTATTGGCGCGTTGTGCCGTTGCGTGTCAAGTTTTAGCTGCGACGTTTCGCAAGTTAATTTTTGAGAATTTGCAAACGTTTAGTATTAAACTGCATCATAAAAGGCGTGTATTTTGCTGGTTTTTCCCAAGTTCATTGACTTGAAACGTCAGCTAGAAGTACTTCACGAATTTCTAGTAGGAATAACTTTGTTTTAACTCTGAAATATTACCCAATATGTCAAGAAATTTACGTAAGCCTTTGTTATTTGTACTTCGGTTGTATAACAGCGCTGCTGAAGTGGTGACTAGAAGTAGTGATACTAGGACCTCGAATTCATCTACTGGTCCATCTTCTCGCGGTGCCATTGTAGGTTTTTAGCGCATTTTCTCATTTATGGGAAAAATGTCATATTGTGCTCGTCATGTCCGTCTGTCCGCGACGTCATGTTTTCGTCCACGAGAAAATGCGCTCTCTTTCTCTCACTGCAGTGAGTACTGAGTTATATTTTTTTGGCATTCTACTGGCCTAAGTCTGCGTAAATGCTTTTGCACACTTATTTTACTATAGTCTTGAAGACATGCAGATAAAATCTGTCTCTAAGATGAACTTACTTGAAAATCCTCACTAAATTACATTGATATATTCTTCGGCTGACCTGTGGGTACCACTGCCTGTAGCGACTCTGTTTTCCATAAGTCTACAAACGTTCTCCATTATCAATCGTTGATTTTCTATAACTCTACAAGTGTTCTTCATAATCGGTCGTTGAAGACTACATCATCTGGTAGACATGGCGCTGTGGTTTTTATTATTGTTCCGTTGACAGAACTGTTAACGGAAGAAGCTTTAGATTCACTCTTGAAAGACTCGTTTCTAACGACTCCTTCGCTTGGTTTCCGGTGCTGCAATTCTGCTTCTCGCCTCTTGTAGGGAGTGTCCAGGAACAGGATCATGATGCAGACGAGGATTGCGAGCACACACATCAGCATTACGATCGACACTGCAACAAATACAACATTATCATGATGCACGCTTGTGCATCGATTTAACTTAGTTGAACTATTTAATGTTAAGGTCGCTAATAAGTTTTGATGGTAAATTCAATTGATCAACTTTAGAAAAGGTATGAAAAAGGAGCTGGCAAGGCAAAATAAAATTCAGCTCTATTTCATCACATGATAACGAGTTGCTAAACCATGTATACATACATGGTTGGACTAGATAAGGTAGAACTATGAGGATTTCCGTCTTTCAGTTCAGCTTTTTTGTTGCGTCACTGAGATCAAGAAACGTTAACAAACGGCCGTCATTCCCATGACGGATTGGTTGACTGCTTTGATCGCATTTCGGTGATTGGTTAATGCCCGTGACGTCACTGAGATCAATGACGTCACAGGCGAACAACGAGCTACATCCGCAAAAATGGGCTTGTGATGGGTCAACCTTATACTAGTTTTAGTTTTATACTACTAGTATACTAGGGTATATTAGTTCAACCATGAACCTTATACTAGTTCAACCATGATGTACATACATCTGACACGTGAATAAGGATGAGCTTACCCAAGACTTGACCACCGAGGAATATGAAGGCAGTGCTGAATGTCTCCTCGACGGGGTATGTGGCCTCAACCGCCAACTCCAACCCGATGGGGTAGCCGCCTACGCCGAAGAAGCCGAACAAACTGCTGAAGATCAGGATGGCGGCCTTCGCGTCCGGCACGAGGAAAAACTGCGCGTAGAAAGTAAAGTTGCGTTTCATTTTTTGGTGAAATTTAGGATGACCTATGAAAATATCTGTCGTGTATTATAATCTATCGATGTTGTTTATCGGATTATTACCTTTCTCCGTTATCAAACATGAATTTTTTCTTAAATTCATGATATAAGTTTCAGGTTAAAACAGTTTAAACGGATGACTACTCATATTTTTTATCACCAGAACGCGGTGAAAAATACAATGAGCGATTATTTTTTACAAATAAAGCTTACTTCCAACATGGCGATGCCACAAATGGAGGCGCATGCGTAGCAGAACTTGCACACCGGAGTGAAGCGTTTGGTTCTGTCGACGTAGATACCAAAGACCGCTGATCCGGCGAACCCTACCAAGATCATCAGGCCAGTTGACAAGCCACTGAACGTCTGCTCAAAAAACAGGAAGGTTCTACCCGATCAATTATGAACTCATGAAAATACACGGTAACTTGTGAATATACCTACATCGTAAATTATTAATATACATCGTGACCAAAAATGCATCTTCAATATAACAAGATCGCCTACTAAGAACACGACCACAACAGTTATACATCGTACACTTCACTAAATCTCAAATCAAAATTTCACATCGGTTTCAATTAGGTTTCATAATGGCTTGGGGCATTATTCACGCTCAGAAAAATGAATTTGTAACATTGTCCGAATAAATGCACACTTTTTCTATCTCAGCACGAGCACCGAGCGTACGTGGGGCACTAGTACGTCCTATTCCGGATCAAACTGAGTCACGATAACCCAGAAAAGAAAAGTGCGTCAATATTTGGATAAAGTTCCACCCATTTTCCAGACTGTAGATTACAATTTTGCCTCTGAGCAGACAAATTGTTTTAAATTTATAGGCTCTCTATCACGCATGATAACACAATTTCACTTATGCCCGTCAAATTTCTATAATTTAAACGGCCATTGAATCACACATATTAATAAATAAATAGTTTTTATCACGCATAATGAATGCTGCATGAGCCCTCACCGTTGAGTAACCCACTACACACAACATCTGCTGGGTGACGTGTAATGACAGTGTTTAAAGTTCAGAGTACCAAGATTGGCGCAGAGAGGCGTGGGTTCGATCCCAGCTCTGTGCGCCAGTTTCTGGTTAGAATCGGCGAGGAGGCCGGGCGGTTAAGCACAGCAGAATTGTAGCAGTGAGTTACCTGCAACACATTTTTAGGGCATTTTCTCATTTATGGAAAAAAATGCGCTATTGTGCTCGTCATGTCCGTCCGTCCGTCTGTCCGTCCGTGACAGTGATACTTCCTACTAAATATACAGAACGCGCATTTTCTCGTTTATGGAAAAAAGGCCCTATTGTGCTCGTCATGTCCGTCCGTCCGCCCGTCCGTCTGTCTGTCAGACTGTCCGTCCGTGACTTCACGTTTTCGTCGACGAGAAAATGCGCTCTCTGCCACTCACTGCAGTGGTTACTGAGTTATATTTTTTTGTGCAATTTAACATTGCAGAAATATCACCGATCTAAAGCAAGGTTATTAACAACTTATGAGGAGTATGATACAGTATGTTAATTTTTATGTTGCTTGGTCAAATTTAAAAATATTTTATACAATTTTACAAAAATCCTTATTACACGAAAGATTGTAATATGTACATTTTATTACAATCAATGCTATTGAAATAGTAAGGTCCTTAGACCCTCATTCATCTTTCTTATTACAAATCAGAAAACAGTTTTTTATCTAAATAACAAGCGTCATTTGAGAGTGATTATACGACACATATTTTTTAAAATAATTTATTTTCCCTGCCCTAAATGAATTCATATTAACCTGGTGATGCAAGCGATGGTGCAGCACTGGGTGAGGATGGCAAAGCCCATCCAGACGTAGTTGTTCGTGGGCACGTCTTGGGGGACCCTGACGATGGCGGGGGTTATAACCTCCCCCAAAACGATCCCCAAGGGGTTGGCTAGCGACAAAAATAAATAATTGAGTTCGAGGTATTTCCAATGTAAATATGTTATCAAAAAACCTCGAAACACTTAAATAGATTAATATATTTTTGACTGTGACAAGGTGTAAACGCCATGAAGAGTCTCTCACCTACTGTTCGTCCTCGGCCGCTCTCTCGTTATATGCCAGATAATTATTTACGCTAAGAAAATCATCACCCACAGACATGGTTATAAGTTATATTGCATCATTAGTCGGTAAACTTGAAAGAGTAAGAATAATCGAAAGAATTGGTCAACACTTCCGCCAACTTGAAAAAATCTTTGCGTTGCTACTCAATAAAAGGAAAATTCATGTTATATGCATAATATTGGATTTCATAAATTTCATGATACAATTAAATCTTCAAACATGTTGTTTTTCATTGCCCTAATACAAAGGAATATTCCAACATCTATACGCATACGAGCTTCAACAGTGAAGCTCGGGAGTATAACATAAAGTTAAACATGCAAACCAGAGGCTCGTAGCCGAAACTACGCACGATAAATGCATCGTTCACGCAAAAAATTATCGTAAATATGATCATGCACGTAGTACATGTTGATACACGTAGTACACATTGATACACGCAGTACACGTTGATGCACGTAGTACACGTTGATACACGCAGTACACGTTGATACACGCAGTACACGTTGATACACGTAGTACACGTTGATACACCACGCAGTACACGTTGATACACGTAGTACACGTTGATACACGCAGTACACGTTGATACACGTAGTACACGTTGATACACGTTGATGATCGTACACATTGATACTATCGTGCAAGTAGAGAACGTGATCAAACACAAAGAAAACATGATTGTGCATGCAAAGAACAAGATAACACACGCAGAGAACACGATTGAAATAACTCACACATGGAAAGTATTGTCGTTGAGATGGTACGCTGTTCGTCCGGGAACCAAACTTGCGACACCTTCGTGGGGATGAAGAGAAGGAAAGACTGCGCCATGGCGGCGATACATTTCATCATAGATTAAAATTACGAGTATCTTATTGCAATAGACATAAAATATGAAGACATACGACGAATGCGGAATTGTTTCTATATTTTAATCAGTGAAGTAATAGCGGTACTTCCGAAAAATTGGCAGAAATTGGAGTAGGCAAAAAACCAATCAATATAGAGTCGCCTTAATCAAGTAAGAGGTTAGAAACATTCATTTTTTTAATTGTCTAAAAGACTAAAACTCTAAATTAGGTATAAGTTAAGAAAAAATCCATATATAACGGCCTAACTCGTGTGAGAGGCAATAACTAATTTGCTCATAATGGTTTAAATAGTGTAATTGCCAATAAACAATCCACAATCGCCTAAATTATAATACAGGTTTTAAAGAGTCCATATATAACGGCTTAACTCGTGTAAGAGGCAAGAAACAATCTATATACAATGGCTATGATGAAACAATCTATATACAATGAATAAGAAAAAACGCCTTTGGCAGACTATGATCTCACCATCAAAGCGCCCGAAAATGAACGCTTGCTAAGCAAAAGCGTTCTTCATAAGCTAGGAAAAGCTCATCGAGACCTTCGCGCCTGAAACTTTATCATTTATCTTTTATCATTGATTAGCGCCAGAATAATTACGTATTTTCAGATAATGATCACCCCATCAAGATGCTTTGGGATTTTCCATCACGCAAGTCGGTCTGTCGAATGTTTTCTAGTAAGTTACTGAGCACTCGCATTGATTGCTCGCGCAAAAAAAAATAAATTCTTTTTAATTCCCTGCATCTTTGCATTAATGATATATTGTAGTCAATATTAAATAAACTCGTGTATTTATCACGACAATATTTATGCAAAAAATATTCTCTGCAGTAATTCATTTTAGATGACATTAGTTTCAAGCGTCATTCAAGTTGCTTCGAAGGTATTACTTTATGTTGTACTATGCTTACAAGGAATATTGCGCTAGCCTGTTATTTGTAAGAGGAACATTTGACCAGTTTGCCAGGCTTTGATGTTGTTACTTATACTATCCATTAATAATATTTTATACATTATTGGTTGTTGGTGTTGTATAATGCTTTAATGTTGTTGCATATGTATATATTATTTTCGTCACCTGTCCCGTAAGGCTGACTGCGTACTGCGTGTCCTGGCTCTCTATGAAGGCTGAGGTGCCCAGCGCCTTCACCACCGACCCCACGCAGTTCAGCGCCGCGCCTAAGTGTATCTGCCGGCACAGAAAAACCATTGCTCACCATTCACTGTATGAAGAGCTCATAAAAATTAACCATTTGCTATTTTTAAACAATGTCACTTTCTTGCCCTCAGCACTAGCAGGGAACCATTTCTTAGCACAGAAAAACCATTTCTCTTCATTCAATGTATGGTGCACTCATACAAATTGATGTGCTATTTTTAAACAATGACACTTTCTTGCCCTCAGCACTAGCACGGAACGGAAGCTGACTTGGACAAAAATGGGTCTTGATAACTATCACAAAGGCAAAATGTGCATTACTATTTATACAATAACACTCTAATTTCAGCCAGTGCGTAATGGCAAGGATGAAGCCGTTGAAATTAATTCATTTATATTATATGATAACAAAACCTTGAAATAAGTTACTTCGATCCCAATAAATTAGTCGTTCGGTAATCAACTCACAGTCGCGCGCGGATTCATTTAAATTATATGATAAGAAAACCTTGATAACAAATATGATCCCAATAAATTAGTCGTTCAGGAATCAACTCACAGTCGGATTCATTTAAATTATATGATAACAAAACCTTGATAACAAATATGATCCCAATAAATGAATCGTTCAGGAATCAACTCACAGTCGGATTCATTTAAATTATATGATAACAAAATCTTGATAACAAATATGATCCTAATAAATTAATCATTCAGAAATCAACTCACAGTCGAATTCATTTAAATTATATGATAACAAAACCTTGATAACAAATATGATCCCAATAAATGAGTCGTTCAGAAATCAACTCACAGTCGGGCCAAGTCCATATCTGTTCACGACGAAGGTGCAGATGAACACAAAGGGCATGGAGACGATGAGGTAAGCCACGGAGAAGTAATTAACCTGACCATCATATTTATCATAGAAATCTTGTACGATGGTTGCAACAGGTGCGTATGTGATCCACATCTGCAAGGAAATTGTTTCATCTTATCGAACGTAAAATGGTGGAAGAAATGACGCAAAGAAACATTGTTAAAACGTTTACATGACAGTCAATGGAACTGTAACAATTAAAAAAATCATTAAAATTACTTGATTGCTTTGAATTATGAAGGAATTTTGATGTAAAAAATTCATATCACCTCAACTATGCAATTCGAATAAGGAAAATTTTCTTGCAGATTTTCTAGCATTGTTAGACAAGCCAAGATAATTCGACTGTAATGATTGACGGCAGAATTAACGTAAATTTTATCACAATGGGGAAATTGCATTGCCTAATTATTCAATTACTCTGACGATAATAACTTACTGAAGCTAATTTTGCATTGCAAAATTTAATTAAAATTAGAGATAATGTAATACAAAAGAAACTTCAGTAATTACCGGCACTACCGTTGATGCAAAATTCGATTAGAATAGGATATATTGTATTGCTAAATGAATCAAGTTATTAGACATCATCTTTGATGCAAAATTTGACAAATGGAGATATGACAATATTAAAAATAATCATTAATGAAAATAATCAACGGCAGCTTTAGTGAAAAATTAGAATCAGTATGTAGACCTGTTAAATTAACCAAGTAATTTATGTATAATGACTTTTGGTAGTAGTGATATATAGTTCAAATTGAAATTGTGATATGGTATTTTAAAACTAACCAACGAAGTCAACTGATCGTAGATTTGATATAAAATTGTAATATGAATGTGAAATGAACAATCGATTCAAGGATAATGCCTGACGGCAGCTTTGATGTAAAAATCACTATAAATTGTGATGTTTCATTCTTAAATAAGCAAATTAATTTGAAAGATAACGACTGACAGCAGCGTTGGACAGGTTGAGCAGCACCACGACCAGCATGACGAGCCACCGCTGCTTGTAGGCGCGGAACTGGGGCTGGGAGGGGGGCGCCTGATCCCCGGGCGGTGGGTAACAGCCCAAAGGTGGGTCATCCTTGGCATTTGTTGGCTGTGAAATACGGTCAGAAGGTTCAGTTTCGTACGCGAAGAATTTAGTTAGAGAAAATGTAAAAGGATGTAGTCTGGATCGAGTTTATTAGTCAGGTATTACATGGTCGGAAATTTATTACGAATGATTTTTATTTTTACATAACATAGATGATGGGTTCAAGCGTGCAGGGTCCATGGGATGTAGCCGCTGAGTAATAAAAGACCTTTAATTTTCCCTGTTATTTGTAATTTTTCATTTTTTTATTGCTAGTTTTACGGATAATTACGTGAAAGCAGTGCAAACACTTTTCATGTAGTGGGATGAATAGAAGTAAATAGTGTACGTTTAATGTGATGAATAACAGCGAATAATGAACGTGTAATGGAATGAATGACAGTGAATAGGAAGCGTGTAATGGGATGAATGACGGCGAATGATGTGCGCGTAGTGGGATGAATGACGGCGAATAATGAACGTATAATGGGATGAATGACAGTGAATAGAGTGCGTGTAATGGGGTGAATGACAGCGAATAGTATGCGTGTAATGTGATGAATGACGGCGAATAAGGAGCGTGTAATGGGATGAATGACGGCGAATAGTGTGCGTGTAATGGGATGACTGACAGTGAATAGAGTGCATGTAATGAGATGAATGACGGCGAATAATGAACGTGTAATGGGATGATTGATGACGAATAGTGTGCGTTTAATGGGATGAATGACGGCGAATAATAAATAACGCACATCATCCCTAATGGGATGATGTGCGTCTAATGGGATGTAATGGGGAAAGTAAATGTAAATTAGGTCCGCGTAATGAGACGAATAACTCAGTATTTCGTGATCCATGAGAACCATGGATATTCAATTCAGATACTCGCCTGCATCATGCTTAATTGGTTGAACGAAAATTCTTGTTTATTTCTTGATGAAAGCTGAAGTAGAAGAGTTGAAATTGAAATCAAATTCAGTAAACAATAATTTTACCATAAATACAATTCGTCATTTGTATAAATGCGGTCAGGAGAATCGACTTCGAATGCATATATACAAAAATGAGGTACGACTTCATGCAATAGTGATTTTACGTTGCTACTTGAAACACAGTACGTCGCAAGAAAGTAGAGCATCCATTGATTCAATTAAATTAGATAAGCAGACTTCTTTTCTAGCCTCAAGATAACAAATCAGAATATCACGCACAATAAGTCATAGCATTCTCGTATAGTTCTCTGGAATGCTCAATGTAATACAGATTGGATATCTCGTTATTTATTTTGAACTAAAACACTTCTTAAATGCATGTTTCGTGGTTTATGTTCTTCACTTCACGCAGAAACTAACAACTTGTGTTAACACCTACACAGTTATTGAACACAATATCGCTTGCGAAGGAAGTTTTTTTTTAATGTCATCCTATATGAGAAACAACCGAAGCACAGAGACCCACGTCCATCAAGCGTTAGGGAACCATTAACAATTACATCTGATGTTGTTTTATACCTCCTTATCTTATCTGCATGATACAGATTATATGAAAAACAATGATTACAGACCAAATCTAGTATTGTGCAGATACTCGAGTATATAGCTGTGCTGCTCTGTACGGCAAGTTGAAGGTCTAGAAACATATGCAATCCTGAGGAGGTCAGTTCCTTTTGATGGCTGAGCTCGTTAGCATACGTTCCGTTTACATAGTGTTAAACGTCTCATTTTTATTTACGTACAAAATCAGTACAGAAAACTATTCCCCATCACTATTAATCCAAATACCAAGCAGTGTATGTAGTAAGCAATAATATATCTAATCCAGAATTTGCTCACTTTCAGAAATAATTTATCCATGTTTGAATTTTTGCCAATAGTTACAACAGGTGTGCAAGGGTTGACATGGGTACAGGGTACATACAGACAGGTACTGGTTACATACAGACAGGTATAGGGTACGTACAGACAGGTGCAACGTACGTACACACAGGTAAAGGTTGTACACACGATAGAGGAAAAAGAGCTAATTGCTGCAAGGTAGAAGGAGTATTAATACTCACGACAGGTGTGTATGTAGTCATGTTGTACATAGGATACGTTGCTATGAGCTTGGTCGTACAGGTAGCTGAACGGTCCTCAGTCAATAGAGTGTGTTGGCCCTGCCCTTATGTTCGCTGCGTAGACGTGATGGTTGGTTGCGGATCCTGCAGGGGTATTGATGTGATGACCTACACGTGGCCTACATGTGAGACTCAGAAGTGTGACAGACATGTATAACCAACACGTATGACAGACATGTATAACTCACACGTGTGACAGACATGTACAGGGTGAACCAGAATTAACTGACCCTTTTAATTTGTTAATAAATAAAAAACTAAGAACGTTATGAAGTTGAAACTTGTTTTATTTAAAAGAAGAACCTTTTTATGGTAATATTGTATCCTATTACAATATTTTATCATTGTATTAGTTAAAATATTTATTATGTATTAATAATATGTATTAGTAAAAATATTGTATGTAATATTGTATCCTAGTTAGTTATTGTATCCTAAAAACTAGGATACAATATTACCATAAAAATGTCCTTCTTTTAAATAAAACAAGTTTCAACTTCATAACGTTCTTAGTTTTTTATTTATTAACAAATTAAAAGGGTCAGTTAATTCTGGTTCACCCTGTATAACTCACACGTATGACAGACATGTATAACTCACACGTGTGACAGACATGTATAACTCACACGTGTGACAGACATGTATAACTCACACGTTTGACAGACATGTATAACCCACACGTATGACAGACATGCATAGCTATATAACTATACGCGAATTGGGAGACTTGTTGTTTAAATTATTTCGTCCTTAATACGGGTATAATCGTATTGCATTGATACAGCGATCTAATGAATTAAAACAAAAATTAATATTTATAAATTCAATTTAAGGTTTAAATAAATTAAAAAGGCTATAGTTAAAAGAAACTATCCATTATTTATTACCAACTATCATAATTTATTATAATCACCTATTGAAATACTTGACACCTTAACAAACCTGCCAAAAAGATAGTCGAGTGCGCGTTGAAGGCTTCCAGGAGTTCAATAGCGGGCAGCGAATAAAAAATCTTCAAGGGGAATATTTTTTCATGGGTTTTTCGCTGCATCAACAAACTCAATCATACTTTATTGATCTCGAATCATCAGAGTGAACATTTGATGCTAGCAATGGACTTTAAAATCGCCGACAATGTTGAACTTATAATTTTATAGACAAATATTTTGTAGCTGTGAATGAAATCTCACGAACAGTTAGCTGAACAGCAGATTCGATTCATTTCTCCGTTGTCCATCGTTATCTTATTTCATTTCATCACTTTTGATAACCGACGAATTCAGCACGACGTTTGTTAGATGCCAATATTATTGTTATCATTGAGAATTATAATATTTATAGTACTAAACTTATCTATTGTTATTTATATTAAGCATGTCTAAAGCAAACTTTGAATGATAATTTGTCTTAACTTAAGCAGCAGTGGTTGAAGTAATTTTTATTGAACGAAAATTCAGTATATGGTACAATTCCTAAATCTAGATAAAAGCCAACTGGGTAATTATTCGAAATAATGAGGCTGGTAGAATTATGAATAATGCGTAATATTACATAATGCATTACAAAATTGAACTAATTTTTTATTACGATACATCAGTTATGTTTTCGAAGCATAGAAAAATTACTCACAAAAATCAACTTTCCTAATTAAAGACGAAACGAAGCGAGAAATTTTGCCACTTGTTAATGTCTGTCCTGCGGCTCTTTTTCCGTTATTCAGATATTCAGGATATTATTGTATTAACTCATGTGTTGTTTCGAGATGCAATTTTGAAGGAATTTTATAAATGTTTGCATCATTGAAAGAAAACCATTCGTAATATGGCGAAGCTATACACCAGTCACGAATAAATTGCAATGCCTTAGAATAATGCGTGCGATTGAATGCAAAAAAATATATATAGGTATATATTTAACATGTGATGATGCGAGCAGAGAAGCGCTTCTACCGATGATGACTCAGCACTTGACACACGATGTGCGTGACGTCATCAGGCTCATGCTCCTTAGCTGTCACACGAATCATTATTAATAAAATTTATTATTTTAATGAGTTCATTTCCAAAGGCTCAGTAATAAAATTGTTCATCATAATAATCCTAAGTAATTGTAATGACTAAAATTTCGCAATATTGGCATCAAAGTTTATTTTGAAAATTTTGTCTGGGTACCAGAACAAAACGCCTGTTTTTTTTATTGTAACTACATTAAAGGGAAAATTTCTCGTTATACATGGCAGTAAATTTCTTATATCAGCATTCAAAAAATTATGTTGTGATATACGTAGCCTATTATTTATATGATGCTTAAGTCATAAACTAATCTTCACAGTGTAGGATGCTTCAATAATGAAATAGCGGAAACGTTTAGTAGAGTTCTGAAGAGTAGCAGTTAAAATGTATATATTAATTCTAAACCATTGAGCATTCACAGCACGAAAACTCAACCTCTACCCTGCACTGCAACAATGCTTGATTTGCAATTTGTATCAAACTAATATTCGTATTATTCTTGCCATATATATAGACAAATCACTCGCTTTTTAGCGCATTTTCTCATTTATGAAAAAAATGCACTATTGTGCTCGCCATATCCGTCTGTCTGTCTGTCTGTTCTTCCGTCTGTCCGTCCGTCCGTGACCTCAAGTTTTCGTCGACGAGAAAATGCGCTCTCTGTCACTCACTGCAGTGAGTACTGAGTTATATTTTTTAATAAAAAAAGAAGGTAATAAGTAACACAGTTCTTCTGATCAAATTTTCACATGGTTGACGTTACGAAGCAAAGAACTGAAGACTCACAACTAAAAATTCTGATGAATTTTAAAAGTTTATTTTAATCTTATTACAAAATACGTATGACTCATAGAGAGCCGACCATAGTAAGCAGTGACTCATGCGGTATGAGTACCGGCGCTCGTACGTGGAAGCTTATCGGAGATAAGCCATGATAAAAGAAAACGCCTCGTCTGATATGCTTTAGGATGAAACAGCATCAGTACTTCATCTCTTTCTTCATGGAGTGCTTTTTTTGCACCTCTTTCAAACTCTTCATTCTTATTGAACCATTGTTTTTCCATTTCCAACACGTGAAAAATACAATATATGTCTGCGCCGAATTTTTTTAGGAACATTACAAAAGTGCAATATGCACATAAGACAAGAATTGATAAATAAATTCAGGCATGAAATTCATTAGGAGCCTACATACCATATATAATTATATTTAATTTTACAGTTAGGTATCTCAAAGTCTGATAAATCATACGTTTTCTTCATCTGTTGATATCCAAAATCGTGTATATTAACCTCAGAAAATGTTTCCCTTTTTAGGTACAAAAGCAAATAATTCGCACAATACTCGCATGCTTGCGGCGCTGAAAAATAATGACAATAGCGATCTTTCCAGGGCATTTTTTTATCACATGGATCTTTTCGGGGCTTATTTTTTATCACAGGAATCTTTCCGGGCATATTTTAATCATAGTGATCTTTCTAGGGCATCCTTTTTTTATCGCCGCGATTTTTCCGGGGCAAGGCTACATAAAAACTCACTCGTTAGAAGGGCGAAGAAACTTGACCACAACCGAGCGAACTCATTGACGTACATGACATCTTTATTTGAAAGTGCCGATATTGAAAGATCATAAAATGTTAGTGTAGATCGTAATCTTATTTCGAGGAATACTCATGCGACGAGTAAGCTTAAATGCTTTTTCATGTCTTACATAAATACAGTTACGATTAAATAGCGAAAAACGACGGTTAGTATCGGTAGGAGTAGATTTGAATTATAACACGTATAATTAACATGGTACTCTACCCTAATGTATTACATACGAGAAATGTATAATGTTTATGCATCTATTAGATGCGAGGCATCGACAACAGCGCAAATGCACAAAAGGTTTCTTTCTTTTGAAATGCAATTCCATGAAATGTGCTTATGAATACGAACTTAGAATGTTCACGCTGCTCCAAAGAAATGCATTGAATGGAACCCAACTCTACTCAACCATGAAACAATAATAACACTGTCATCGAAATAAATTATAATGCGTCAGGCGAAGCATGTTTCAACATATATGCATATGTTTAGAATCTATAATTGCCAATATACGTAATTGTTTTTAACTCATGTCGCATGCCTGATCATCTCAGGCCGTACAATGATCTTAGAATATTTCCTCATTTTCTACGTCATGTTGCATGAATAATAAACTTACATTGAAGAACATAAATTTCAATGCAGAAATTGGCGAGAACATGTAGGAAAAACCACGTGTTTGAGGAATTGAAGGTTCAGGTCAACGGATTCAAGTTTTTCATTGATCCACAAATCGCGTTCGAGATTCTTCACACAGTCTGCATAGCCGCATAAGAGTGAAAGGAATGATTGTGAGTAGAGTGAAAAGAATGTGTGCCCTTTGTGAGTAGATGTCTGGCCTTTGTAAGTAGATGTGTGGCTTTAGTGAGTAAATGTGTGACCTGTGTGACTAGACATGAGACGTGTGAATAGATGAGTGACCTGTGTGAGTAGATGAGTGACCTGTGTGACTAGACATGAGACGTGTGAGTAGATAAGTGACCTGTGTGAGTAGATGTGTGACCTATGTGACTAGACATGAGACGTGTGAGTAGATAAGTGACCTGTGTGAGTAGATGTGTGACCTGTGTGACTAGACATGAGACGTGTGAGTAGATGATTGACCTGTGTGAGTATTCGAACTCTAAGAAAATATATTTCCAATGAATTAATGCATGCTGTTAATAATTATTATAAGTTAAAATAAGCTGATATCAATACTAGAAGCGTCATGATGTATTTTTAATTAAATTAAATTTCCATCTAAATATTTTAAATATGTACATTTTTATTTTATTATTTTAATTATATTCGATCAATAATATTTTCTGATAAGAAATAATTTGCAAAAACATTTAACAATAAACCTTTGCAGAATTCTTCTCAGAAGAAACGGCTTGTTTAATGTATTTAAAACTAATATTAGTGTTATATAAGATTATTTCTTTACAATTTAATCATTTTTATCATTAAGAGACTCCGGTATTCCGAACGTGATGTTATTATACTAATTTTAAATGATTGCTAATTGAAACTATTAACAATCTGCATGGTTACAATGTTATATTACGCGGTTGCTTCGGTAATCACGTGTTTTAATTTAGTTTTCTTGGTTCTCATGTTAACTGTTATGCTCTTAAATTCGTAGACTAGCCTTCACTGATTGCAAGATCTTTGATATCCGTAAATTATTTTGATTTATAAAAAATTATTATTTATTATATAAAAAAATATTTATTATAATAAAATGTATTAAATTATTATTTTGATTATTTATAATAGCGCACTAGGTGCACATTAAATACTTTTGTTTATTTCAGTTCATACTCTCAGTGTAAACTTTCAAACTTCTTTGTGTGTTAAATTCGCAATACTTATAATTGAGCCGTGTTATGTGGTGCGGTCAATGTGAAGATCGATACTCTCATAAATTATCGAGTAGGTCGGCCGCAATCCAACAGACAGTTTCATTCTCAGTTTGCGTTTCAAAATTAGGTTAATTTCCCGCCAAATCACACCGAAAACTTCTCGACTCATTGACGCAATTCAAATTTAAATCTTGATGCTTAACAAAATCAGGAGTATTCTCTTCCCAGAGACATACTACTCGTATCACTGCAGCAGCGTTTTTCAAAATAAAGCGATCGGCACACGTACGCAAGAAGCCATCACACCACCTCCTTCCGGTGCTGAACGCACACTGCCGTCACGATGCAGTGTCGCCGCATCACTTTATAGGTCAACTGGTATCAGTAACCATTCCCGCCCGCTAATACAAGGGTTCGCAGTTGGCACTCAAACCATCCCAAAAGTTTTAAAATCACTTGGCTGCTTAAGTCGCAAATTTACCAGGATATTAAAAGTAAAGAAAATAGCCAAAAAGTTCCCCATTTCTTATATGAGAAAACGTTTCGGAGTCCAGCTCCATCGTCAGTTCAAAACCTAGAACACAGGTACAAACAATTAGTAGCCTAAAATTCACATTCAATCAATTCACCCAAACTTAAGGACATTAGAACTAAAATCGAAGATAACATAAATAAAAATGAGATAACATGTAGAGAAAGTACTATCTATTTACAATTTGTAGAGGATAGGAACTGAATGCAGCATTTAAACTGGGTTTCAATCATTGTATATTTTCAAACAGAAACCCAGTTTAAACGCTGCATTCAGTTCCTATCCTCTACAAATTGTAAATAGATAGTACTTTCTCTACATTTTATCTCATTTTTATTTATGTTATCTTCGATTTTAGTTCTAATGTCCTTAAGTTTAGGTGAATTGTTTGAATGTGAATTTTAGGCTACTAATTGTTTGTACATGTGTTCTAGGTATTGAACTGACGATGGAGCTGGACTCCGAAACGTTTTCTCTTATAAGAAATTGTGAACTTTTTGGCTATTTTCTTTACTTTTAAATACCAAAAGTTACGTCCATAGTTAGAGAAAACCTAAAAATAATGAATTAACACAGTGTAGACAGAATATACGGATCGCTTTCGCTGTAGGAAAGTGAGCTGACGAGAGCTGACTTGCCGAGTAAGAAACGAACCACGCCGGTCAGGTTTCGACAGATACGAGTACGTAATTATCACATGCTTAGTCAATTTTTTTTCAATTCTACTAACCGATCAGTGATGCCTCTAATATTTAACATTTGATAATTAGTGCAATCCATCATAAAACCTGACCAGTTGAACGCACGAGATGACGTAGGGGATTGTTGAGATTTCTTACTAGCTTCATCCGAGACACTTGAACGGTACGGTTATGAGCGTAAGCTCAGGACTCGCAACGGAAAATAATATTAATTCGAAAAACGTTCAATGATCATAGAAGCAACAGAGATATTTTTTAGGAATCAGTTCATTCAAATTTCCTAATCTACATCATAATTATGTTATCTTGTATCTATTCTATAATATGATATCTATATATCTTATGGTAATTCTGGTTTTCACGATACTTACACGTCTACTTATAGGACTCAAACGGAAGGTCAATAAGAAAGTATCTCGCTTGCCTGTTCATTATTAATTATGTGAAACAGCTTGGGTTAGGTACAAGGCTGTTGCTCCACATTTTATTTGATGGTCAGAAAACCATGTTTTTTCTTCTCATACAAAATGAGAATATAATGGTAAAACAATTACTCTCAAGATCAGAGTACTATAAAAAATGTGTAAAAGGTTCCAACGTCCTAGTCAGGAATGTGCAACAACCAATGAGATTCAACACCACTAACAAAAGCAAACATTGAGCGAGTTTAACAATAAAACTCGATAAATAAAGGTACACTTTTCCTACAGGATCACATTCGTCAACAGATGAATTATGGAAGACGTGTCTGAACTCTGAACCAAATAACTTGCGTCAAAATTACAAAAACAATCGCATAAGGCGTGCGAATTGATAACGGAATTCCAAGTTTAATGCATGGCTTTATCATTTTCAAACATTAAAACTCTAGATGACAACTTGAAATTATTGAAATAATTAAATTTTGAGCAAATTCGATACAAAAGCATTCTTCCATAACGCGGTATTAGGAATTCTTGGTAAATTATAACTCATAGAAGACTTCTTCTAACATACGGGGTAAGACGTAAATAACTCTCTCATATCCACAGTAACATTGATACCGTCGTGACAGATAATTCGCCCATACAATGAGAAAATAATAATAAGACCGTTGAGCGGAGCGGCCAACAGGGAGACATATTCGCACCGGAATAGGAAAACCTATTTCCTGTTTTCAGATCAAATAAAAATTACAGAAAACAGGTAAATGAATTTGCATGCTCGTATGGCATACGGTACATAATACTTTCTGTAGTTTTAATTTGTGCGCAATGCATGCGTATAAAACTTAACAGATAGCTCATAGTGAAAAATTGTGTTAGCGAATAAGATATCTCGACACAAGGTTTCATTATAAACTTTTTTTGTACTTGAGTAAAATAAACAATAACCTCCACGAAAGACTTTAAAGAGTTACCAAGACTTAGTGCATGAAAACTGTAGGTCGCAGCGCAAACTGCATCTTACAACAAAATAAAATAATTACTATTTGAGCAGCGTGGTGGAGACAACACGTATACGTGTACGTAGGTCAGCACACCAACATCAGAAAAGAAAACCCCCACGTTTCAGAAAAGTACGAGGGGAAGATTCAACCCAATACCAAATTCCAATTTTGTAGGCTAGCATCTAAGAAGGTGCTAAGAACATACTTTATCCATAATCCAGCATCAACTTCTGTATTAGTTTTAAACTCGAGCAAGATCGCCTCACTTTTCCTTTTGCTCTTGCTCAAATATTCTACTTATATCAGTCATTATCATATTGGTTATCATGGAGACTATTGATTCAAAATACAAACAAGAAGAACGAACTTCCTACCGGCATTGGATTAATCTCGTGTGCTCCTCCCCATTCATCATGTATTTGGAAATATTTTTAGAATTCATTCGCATACTCAAGATGAAGACTTGGAGAAACAACTTTGCCACCCATCTTGGGCGTCCATTTTGATTATTTGTTCTTCACCGAGCACGGACACGAGCTTGTCGAGAGGCTCGTACATCATAAGAGTCTTTACGTTACCAATAACAATGAGCTTACGCTGAGCTCTCGTCAAGGCGACATTGAGACGACGTTCGTCTCGCAGAAGCTCTCCAGCTTTCTTAGGATCGGTGCAGCTCCTGACACACGAGTATATGATGACGAGCTTGTCTCGTCCTTGATACTGGTCCACGGTGTTTATTTCTACCTTTTTGCTTTCCTCTAAAACTTTTTGAGTAGTAATTGGTTCTTTACAGTCTACCCTTTTGACAGAATCTACTCCATCCCTACAACTATTTTTAATCTCATTATAGGGGACAGTTCCATCACTCGTGTCAGCATCATCGGATGCTAAGAGATGTCCAGAGTTTTTATCTTCATTCTTTTGATCCGTGATCTCAATTTGACGGGACGTTATGAAGTCGCGAGTCTTCTGCGTCAGCGACTCCTGCAGTAGACGCACCTGGGCGCGGTAGGGGGCGATCACACCGATGTCTACGCCGAGCACTCCAAGCTGTACAGAAATCGTTAATAACAGCGCTGTATTGCACACTATAACTATATTGATTAAGCGAGAGGGGTAGAACTGTTCGTAAAAGGATATATATCACTACATAAGAAACAATCAAGAGCTGATTAAGTAGAATAAATTTAGTTTATGATCTTTGTAAGTTAAAGTATGCATGAAGAAATAATGGTGCCATATACGTATTTATATCAAAGGATGCAATGTTCGTTACCATGGCCAAACCAGCCGTTTCATTAAATGGATGATCATCAATACATTTTTCACTCTAACGATCCACAAGTAATAGTAAGCCTACATAGCTCTGTAAGACTACATAGCATAGTAAACCTACACAGCATAGTAAGCCTACACAGCATAGTAAGCCTACACAGCACAGTAAGCCTACATAGCATAGTAAGCCTATATAGCATAGTAAGCCTGCATAGCATAGTAAGCCTACATAGCATAGTAAGCCTATATAGCATAGTAAGCCTACATAACATAGTAAGCCTACATAGCATAGTAAGCCTACATAGCATAGTAAGCCTACATAGCATAGTAAGCCTACATAGCATAGTAAGCCTGCATAGCATAAAAAGCCTACATAGCATAGTAAGCCTACAATAGTAAGCCTACATAGCATAGTAAGCCTACATAGCATAGTAAGCCTACATAACATAGTAAGCCTACATAGCATAGTAAGCCTACATAGCATAGTGAGCCTACATAGGCAACTGTGTCTTTGACTACATCACAGTCTTACCTGCAACAGCGTAGCCACTATTGCAGCAGTTATGTGCAGCTCGCCGGTGTTCTGGATACCAAGTGAACACTCCTGCTCACAGGCGCTGCCCGCGGTGTCTAATAGCAGCACTGATTGCTCAGGCTGCACCGCAGTCCTCAGCCAATCAGGAAGTCCAGTAACCTTGGTCTCCTGAAAAAATATCATTACAAAGTTTTGCTTACAATGATAAAAATATCGTAAAGATCAAAAGAACCCATGTTAGTGAATAGCACGCAGCCTTTATCTGCCTGGTGACGGTGTTGGCTGCATCGTCCATCGTAATAAAAATTTGTTCAGATGATCACGAGAGAAATGAAGAGAACCATGAAATGGCATAAAATGGCGAAATTGTTGCGATACAAAATTTAATAGTTCGCCGTCTTTGCGGTCGAAGTTTTGCTGACAAAACGAAAAGAACTTAAGCTATGGATGCATAACTGATAAAAGCTAAAGTATCTGTTCAATTTGGATGCGATATAAGTATACTTCAGGCTATGAAATAAGACGACATGCTTTTAGTGAGGCGTGAAAGACGTACTTGGAAGTAAGGCAGATGCAAGCGCGCGTCTTGTAAGGCGTCAGAAGCGCACTGTAGCTGACCGTTGTAAGTGATGGCATTAGCAAGGCGCATGATAGGCGCCGCCATGCGGTACTGCAGCGTCAGGCTGGAGCAGCAGTCCTGGTTGCCTCCACGCTCCAAGATGCTGAACACGGTCTCCGTCAGACCCATAGACCTGGAGTATTTTAGATTATTATTTAATTAACTAGATTAATAGTCTGGAATTTTCTGTATGGAGTACCTTACAGATAGAGTACCAATTTCTGGATGGAGTATCATTGCCCAAAAGTCTGATTTTGACTTATACAGACATGCCATTGAATAAACAAAGATTAATTTATTTAAATACAGGCCATGGATAATTATTTTTTGGAGGAAGGAAGACATTTTACGGACCTTACGAGTGTAAATATTCCGATTCTAGTACACCTCATAATACATCAACAGAAATTTTTTTCTTTACAGACAGATTCCTGTTATATTTTATATAACCAGTGTGAACAATTGCATTGAAATGGAAGAACGCAGGTGCAAAATTATTGACAAAAGACATTCGTCAATAAAATAAAAGGAGTGAATACAAACCTGGCTTGGGTGCTCTGCACTACAGGCGGGAGCTGCTGGGAGTCTCCTACAAGAACAAATTTGTCAGCGCACAGCAAGGGGGCGGTGCAGGCCGGAAGTAATACCTGTCAAACAAACAATACTGAATAAATCAACGTAAAGAATTCGAAACAGTTATACTTAATGACAGGTTTCATTGCAAGTGATAGCGTACAACATATTTTGAATAAAAAACTATGTTTACAAAATTTAAGGTATAAATTGATTTAATAAATTCGTCGCTGAACGACTACAAAATTTAGTATCGATGGAATGTAGTCAATTATGAGTTGCTAAATAAGATGACTCTCTCACAATGCCAGATCAATTATATTACTTTTCTGATGCCTCAACTTCTTCCTGTATGCCACAACCCACAAGAATAACTTTGGTCGTTTACACGGCATTGAAATGTGTTGACAGACACTGAATATCAAATTTAAGGAGATTATAATAATCTTGAATAAATTAAAAATTAATCTGTAGGAAATTTATTATTAATATGGAGGAAATTGAATAATTACCTCGAAAGAAAAATATTAATCTGGAGGCAATTGAATATTAATCTGTAGGAAAATGAATAATTACCTGGAAGAAATCGAATGTTAATCTGGAAGGAATTTAATAATTAAATGGAAGAAATAGAATGTTAAACTGGAGGGAATTGAATATTAATCTGTAGTAAAATGAATATTAATGAGATTAAAAAGAGGCGCGGTACCTGAGCAGCCTCATCCACGATGCAGACGTCGAAGCGTCGCTTGGAGAAGAGCACGTGGTTCACAGCCAGACACGTCGTGGCCACCACTGCCTGCACGGTGCATCAAGGCTCAGTAATAAAATATCTGAGATCACCACACTATCCGTACATCAAAACACAGTATTTCAGAAAACACTACTACTCAAGTAGTAGAACCACTACAACAAAATTGTACATCAAAATACAGTATCTCAGATACATAACACTAACGTAATACTCAAGTAGTAGAACCACTACAACAAAACTATAGATCAAAGCACAGTATCTGAGATCACCACACTACTCAAGTAGTAGAACCACGACAACAAGAAATGAGGGCATTTAGGGACTATAATTACGCTTTTGAGCATTTATTGTATTAAATTGATAAATGAAAAGTAAATTAAGAAATGCTTCAAATGGAGTTATTTGCACACTTTTAAAAATAAGAGTAAATGACACCTTTGAAATCAATCAACTTGATAATCAAACAGATAATAAAAAATAACTTGTAAACTCTTCGAAATCATAAGAATCATTGTATGTATTTAAACAATGATAGGGAAAAACGGAATTAGTGTTCTCAGGGAACTCAAGATATTGAGTAGGAGAGATCAATACCGAGAAGGATCTGCTATTATTTCCAACAGCCTTACGGTACGGTACGATTGACGTACGGTACGATACGATTGACGTACGGTACGGTAAGATAGACGTAAGGCACGGTACGATGGACGCACGGTACGGTACGATTGACGCACAGTACGGTACGATGGACGTACGGTACGGTACGATTGACGCACGGTACGGTACGATGGACGTACGGTACGATATGATTGACGCACGGTACGGTACGATTGACGCACGGTACGGTACGATGGACATGCAGTACGGTACGATGGACATGCAGTACGGTACGATGGACGTACGATACAGTACTGTACGATTGACACACGGTACGGTACGATTAACGTACGGTACGGTACAGTACGGTTGACGTACGGTACGGTGCGATGGACGTACGGTACGGTATTGATCTTTCCTGCTCAGTCCCGTAAATTATCTGCCACAGTTTCCCAATACCTCGTACCTTACTGGCGTAGAAATCTGCCAGCTGCGTGACGTCAGTGAATGACGAGGTGAGGATCTCGTCTGCGTAGCCGTGCAGTTCAGGGTGAATGCGGGAACGTCGACCCAAACGCAAGAAATCCACGCCTTTTGCCTGAAAAAAATTGTGCAAGTGAATAGGCATCATAAATGAATTTGTGCATGCATTTTGGTCATGAATTTTTGCGTTTTCATTTTTAAAAAACATTTTTTAGAATAATTTCTACAATTTCTGTGCCTGTTAAAGCATTTGGGAATGAATATGGCTCATGACCGAGAAACTCAAGATTTTTGGGTAGGTTAAAACGTGAAAGCACTGCTAAGCATTCAGTAAAAATATATATAAAGTACCAAAACTAGGGAAGGCAGGAACAAAGACAAACTTTCCTGCAACAACAAGGAGAAGAAATTTACATGAAAGAATGGCACTAATTTTCACACTGTTGTTGGTTGCGCCGAAGCTCATGTGCGCACGGCGGGCGGCTGAGGTGGCGGACGGGAGAGGGCGACCGCAAAAGGGAGGTAAGCAAAGGAAAATTGTGGCACTAAACACGCAAGTTTACATGGCTCAACATACCTTGAGCTTGAGCAGGATGTTATCGACGGCTGAATGAGTGTAGGCCGTCAGCAGTACAGACTTCCCCATGAGGACGAGCACCTGTACTAGCGCCACTACAGAGACACTTTTGCCTGCAATATATATTCATATATGTAAACACGAGTATATAACTTGTAAACCTAAACGCCTAGAATATGAATATATATAAATTTCAAACGGGCTCCTGGTTCATCGAAATATATAACTTAAAAACATAGACAACGTCTTCCATGCATTGGAAACTCTCAATGACGGTCGAATCATCAAGGCAGCGAGAAAGAATTACAATTCCTGCGCCAAATTTAATTTTTTTTTTGCAGCATTTGGGAATAAACAACAAAGCTTAAGCCAGACTCACGATCATCACCAGTACTAGAGTATCCTCCGATGATGGTGTAGTCATGGTACGTATACTGTATACTCACCTGTACCAGGGTAGCCCCTGATGATGGTGTAGTCATGGTATATACTCACCAGTACCAGGGTAGCCCCTGATGATGGTGTAGTCATGGTATATACTCACCTGTACCAGGGTAGCCCCTGATGATGGTGTAGTCATGGTATATACTCANTAAATAAGCATCTGAAGTGTAATTTCAAAATTGCAGGCTCACCTGTCTAGCATTACGGAGACGACGGTAGAGTCACAGGAATGAATAACTCCTTGAGCGATAGCAATGCATTTCTTGCTGGACACTACAACCAGGTCTCCCTCCTGTAAACAGGCTTAGAATAAATAGGAAGAATTCTGTATGTAATCAAACAAATAAATATAAACACATTATACGTGGCACTAATAATATTCACATTGATCTGGCTGTAAAAATAATTTGATGATTTAACATCAGTTAAAATATTATAAACAAACTTAAAAAATTATAAGTAGTCTAACGGGGAATATAATCATTAAAGATTTATTCATTTATCACAGGATATATCGCTCGGTCATTGGTACATCAAAAAAAACTACTAACAGTACATCAGTGATTTGTAGTTTTCATCATTTAAGAGATAAATTGTTAGATGTAAACGGCAGAGCAGATCTTGCTGCGAGCCTGACCTGAAATGTCCCAGGAGGAATGGTCTCCGGTACAGAGCAGTGAGATGGCAGTTCACTGGGACAAGCTCTTGAGAAGCTGTGTAGCCACTGAGATATTCCTTGCTCAACGCTGCACTTCAGCTTTAGGAACGCCACTGCACCCCCTGCATTTTCACTGCACAAATAATTTACTTAATTAAATATTACGTAAAAAAACACCAAGTTGGATACAGAAAGTTGAACAAAATTTTTTCTTCTTTTCAAATTTCGCAGTGATGCAGTATAGAGTGGTGAGCCGCTCCAGACTCGAAAAATAGGCTGAAATGTAGAGAAAAAGAAAAATATATCAGTCATTAATAATAGTTTTTGCGTCACTGTCGGTCTGTTTCTTTAGTCCGTCAGCGATACCCAAGTCACGGCACCTAGCCGCGTTCAGTACAGAAATTAACGTCGGGGTGCAGATTGGATCGGCATGCAGGTGATGAAGGCGTGTAAAGCTTGATGATTTGTTTAGCAGAGGAAGGTTCCTTGTGACGGAAATTTAGATGAAGGATCACTATTGTGTAAGTTTAATCTTTATAATGATCTGATAGGGGTATTAATGAAAGTGGAGGAGGTATTGAAAAATATCATTAAATATGGTAGACAAAACAAACAGTTTCAACAGTATAACATTAGAGACAGAGGCACCATGAATGACTTTAAAATGAAAATTAAACCAACACGCGTGAATGGATGGTGGTAAATTAACTTTAAAATGTAAAATTCTACATTGAATCCTAATAACAACACACCGCTTGATGGGATCCTGGCACCAGAGGCTGCGTGTGAGAGCTCGCTTGCTCTGCGTGGACTCCACGTGCAGCAGCAGACACCAGTGCCGGAAGAACTCCAGTGCATTCTGCGAAAAATATCATCAAAGTATAGGAATATGATCTACATTCAAGTATTCGAATAGAGTAAATATTCAATTATCATCTAAAAAAGTTTGAATATGCCAGATATGTATTTAGTCTTAAAATTCTTATTTAATCGCGAAAAAGAAATGAAATAATATTTTCAAGATTTATGTTAGTAATTTATTTTCATTTCCCTTTGTAAGTTATCATCCGCAATATAATTTATCATTCATTCCCGGAGAAAAGTTTTATAATAAATAAAGTACTTTTTTATTCTTTATTCACACGAGAGCACACAATAAAAAAACGTCGGAGCGCAGGTATCTAAGCTAAAAAGCTTCACAGGCGACATAGGCGATATTACTCTCAAAAGAACAATAACATATTGTGATAATGAGATAAGTCAATTCATAAAATTCAAAAAACCAAAGGTTTTTCTTATAATCTGCAATAAACCTCAATGTGAAAAGTAGGACATGATATGAAACAAATATGAAATGAAAATGAATAAAAATGGAAAAAACTGTAAATCATAAAAGAACTGACAGGTTGTAGATGTGCGAGGGTAGCGGGCACGAGGGAAGCCATGGCATGAGGTGGTGAGGGAGGAGCTGTGTTGAGGGCAGTGCATACCAGCAGGTGAGGGCAGCCCTGACACGCCCTCTCACGGTCGATGGGTGAGGGCAACGAGGGTAAGGCCAGTTTCCCATCCTTCTGCAGGGATTGATTCTTGTTATTCTATTTTATCTTAGTTTATATGATGGTTGCAATGTATTCTTATTTTATTTTATCTTCCAGATCGTTCTTATCTTATCAAATTCTGAACGCAACTAGATTGAAACTAGAACGCAATTTGAGGAATAATTGTATTAAAGCCAATATTAACAAAATCAATGTTTAAAGCCAAATCAGCAAGAAAATTTGAAAAATATTGGGCAGCAGTACACACACATTTGCCAATTGAGATGTTAATTGAATTTTATCGAAGTGGAATACCGAGATTTCGAAATTACCTGCACAGCAGGTGGCCTGGCAAAGTATGATGCCATCTCGTTACGCAGCTGCAGGAGTTCACGCTTCTCCAGGTGACCAGTGGTGACTTCTTCCATGTCGCCAGACCTGTGCAGTGGAAAATTTTTCATTCTGATAAGTAATTTTACTAGTTTTTGAGGAGATAAAAATGGAGTTAAGAAATAAATATGAGACTCGGTGCTTTGTGTTCAATTTTTTAATCAGCATAGTGCAACATATCACAATGCACAGATTATCAATGGGATTTTCGTGTCAGTTAATTCATTATGGAAAACAATGTTGTAACTTTACGCACCGAGTGCGACTTCCAGTGGAGAGATGAATGCAATATCTACTCTATATTCAGAAGCACAAAAAATTTTAAAGTATCGAGGGAAACCTCACTGCCGTCAGTGCACAAGTGGGTCGGAGTCGGTAAAAACTAAAAATCATATGATTCCATTCTTATTGCACCTAGTGTCAGGTGAACTAAATGATAAGTAAGTATAGGTACCAAATGTGACGTTGAGTACAATTTTAATTTGTTAATTTAAATGTTAGCCTTTCATGTTAGCGAATGTCAAATCAGAAATACCAATCTTTTTATTGAAGGGTTTCACGTGATAAACTCAAAATGCAGTCCATGTGCTTACACACAGCAACTAGAATAACCTAGCAACCCAGGAAGCTTGTTCAGCATGTTTATTACTGTCACTTGATCGTACACTGCAACGCATACCACGGAACATGAGGCGGTAAAGAGAGACCTGAGATACAATTGGATACATGATCGAACACTGCAATGCATGCCACGGAACATGACGCGGTATAGACAGGCCTGAGATCCATTAGGCTATACATGATCTAACACTGCAACCTCCAGAACATGAGGTGGTTAAGAGAGACATAATCCAACACTGCAACCTATCCTACAGAACATGAGGCGGCAAAGAGAGACCTTAGATACAATAGGATATACCTACATGATCTAACACTGCAACCTCCAGAACATGAGGTGGTAAAGAGAGACATAATCCAACACTGCAACCTATCCTA